GGAGGGGTTGTGGGTTATGGGGAGTGGAGGGTTAATTAATTTTTATTTGTTCGGCTTTTTTGTGGGGGGAGAGGAATGCCAAAAAAAGGATTTAAGCTTTCTTTTTTTGGAAGGCTGAAATGAATGGATGGTAAGTTGGCTTTACTTTTCTTTATTATTCAGGGACTTGGGATGAGACTTGGCAATGTTATCAATTGAAAAAAATTCTTAAATGTATCCTGTACTCTCCTCAGAATGCCCAGATAGCTATTGGACCTTTCACAGACAGTCCCAGCTATGCGGAACTCAGCAAACCTTTCATGAATTCTGGTGTAAATTTTGTGATAAAAGTACGGAATCTGTTGTCAACTAACTGTTTTATCTCATTTGAAGTTTAAAGACTTTGTTTGGCTGTCAGTCTTCTTTTTTTATTAGATCGATGTTTCTATTTATGAATACTACATGCAGGACTATGTAAATGCAGAGCGCATTAAATAGTATGGTCCTTGTTGCAATAAAAAATGACTTGCCGGGTAAGTGACAATTTTGGAAATTCTCATTTGATATGTGTGGCATCTTGGTGAAATCAGGTGCTTGTCATGAAAATAGTGAGTTCAAAGAAATTGGCATTTTTCCACCCATTGGGCAATTTTAATAAAATTTTTAAAATTTATCAACACCTTTTATGTCCATTTAAAAACCCATTTCTATGTGGAATTTACTGAAAAAAAAAACCCTTGATCAAAGGCTCAAAAATGTAAATTTGGAGTTTCCAAGGACACTCAAGCTTTGAAAGTCGGTACACTTTGAAGGCCATCTTCTCGCCAATTTTACATCTGATACCAGGTGACCCCACCTCCTTCTATTTCAAACATCTCAACTTTTATTCTAGATAGATGGGTTTTTTTTTTTCTTTCTTCAAAAGTAAAGTAAATGAACAAGATGAGAAAGATGATACCAATAATTCCACATGGCCGAAAACTTGACGAGCACCTGATACCACCGTGTCGGACACACGTTATATTAGATATTGGAGTGACTATAATATGTCCAGCTGTCTTATTTGCTGATATCAGTATATTTGTTTTGCTTTTTATTTTTAACTTCCATTTTTGTATCTGTTTCACATCATTTCCCTTTCCACCCCCTCCGTCTCTGTCTTCATCTTCTCTTTTTTCCTCTTTTTTTCTCTCTCATTTCTTTTTCTTTCTCTCCTCCTTTCCTCCTTACCTCCTTATTTCACTCTATTTCTTTCAAACACTCTTAAAACATGTATGGTCTCTTTCTCTGTCGCTTTCTTTGTCTCTGTCCGTCTCTATCACAGTCTCTATCTCTGTCTATCTCTGTCTCGCCCTCTCTCTAACTGTTTACTCCTTTCACCTTTCCCTCTTCCTTTGAAACTGAGACAGCGCCTGTCATTCTGATAACCCCAGTAAACTGTAGATAAATGAGCAAACCTTGCTTTCCCCTCCTCTAATACGTCTCACCCACTAACATTTTCGATGAATCCCTTACCCCCCCCCCCCCCCAATCCCACTTCTCCATCATCTATTCTTCCTGTTCCTTTCTCCTTTTTTCTCTCATGCCATCTAATGCCCCCTCCCCCATCCTTTTTTTTTCCATCCCTCTTAGAATCCTCAGCCATCTGGTCAGCCTCAAATGAAAAGAGACATTGGACTGCTGCTGGAGCCATTTGCTGCCGAAGTGTGGGTTATGATCTTGTTGGCATTTGTGGCTGTCAGTCTTGCCTTGTTCCTGATTGGCCGATTTAGTCCTTATGAATGGGCTCGGGTGGCGAAAGAGAAAGATGTTAGACATGCAAGGACAAGTTTTGGCCTTAAAAACAGCTTTCTCTTTGCTGCAAGCACTCTGGGATGGCAAGGTGAGCTTTTTAACAAAATCTCGTCTAAGTTACTCTCTTAGAATGATTTCCACTGTTACAGTAGTCTTCACCTAAGATCCCACCGTTTATGGCCCGGTTCAACTAAGATCCTGCTGTTTTAGAAAAACAGAATTTTATAAATATAAAAGATCCCGCTTTTCAGGTCATAATTTAGAGTAGAGGAGGTAGTCTACGTTACCCTAAGCATAAAAAGTGACCTTGCGAGTCCCCGGTGAAAGGGGAGGTAACCGCACAATAACTGATGAGAAGCAAATTTCGTCTGCCATCGTCGGCCCAGCGCGCTTTGCCTGCTTTGTTTGCCTGTCTCCCTCAGTAATGGTATTTGTGAGGCAAAGTGAGGGCGGGTGTGTGCGACAATGAGCGGGGTGCGCGTTCCTGCCTGAGGGTGGCGCGTTTTATGGAGGGGCTGCGCTCTAGTATAGGGCAGGTCGTGCAACATGCCCTAATAACTTCTTATTATGAATCTTAACTAACGTATGATTTTCTAACCATAAAGGAGGACACATTCTTACAAATTGCACAAGAGTTAAGAGTTACAAAAGACACTCAGTTTTTATGCATAGCCAAAAGAGAAAGAAAACAAAAACTAACTGAAGCCAACACTTACAAGGGAAACAGTAATCTATTAGTGAGTCTAGATAACTCTGAAAACCGTGAATTAAATTATATAAGAACAGCAAAGTAGAGACATGTGAATCTATCTGCACATGGATAAACAAAGATATTGTTTACACTATTTGTATGAAACAAATTGGGAAGGAGAGATTAGTCAGTCCATGGCATCCAGGTCTTCCTGAGTCTTGTCCTTCAGGTCCATCTGTTTGACACTGTTGGCGAGCCACCATTTGTCACAAAGCATGCACTACTTGTCCTGCGGTGGTGGCTCCACACCCAGCATCATAGTCGACCGTAACGTCCCCACAATTGTCGGAGCTGTCGTCATACACCGGCTCTTCTCCTGAGTCAGAGGAATCTTCGTCCTTTTTCTTCTTCTGTGAGGCCACAACCAAAGCATTCATATTCTTCTCCTGAATTCTTCTTTTCTTCTCCTCCTCTTTCTCCTTATTTGCCTGCTCCCTTTGTTTTTTCTTCTCTTTTTGGCTTTCCTTCTTGTCTTCAGCTTGTGCTAGCCGTTCCATCTTTCTCTGCTCTCTTTGCTTCTTTCACTCTTCCTTCTGCTGTTGTTCTTCTTCTGCCTTCCTCTTCTTCGTGAGTATCATCTCTTTATAGTCATTTTTCCACTGATGGACCGGGGCACTGTTGGCTGGAGCCTTCTAACGGCCTTGTTCTTTGAACAGGACAGAAAAGTGAGCATCTTGTCGATAGTCATCTCCCCGGAGGGGTGTTGAGGTTCCAGGGCTTTTGCTGATGGCTGGGGGAGCGGAGGAGCTGGACCACATGTTGTAGTCGGGGTCGATCTTGAGATCGTATCCATTGTCATACCTTTTGAGGTACAGGTCCACCTTCTCCCCAAGCTTAAAGTTCAAGGAGAATATTTCCTTGAGTCGGTGACGGCGAGTTTGTGACGTCGTGGATGGTTCAGAGGCAGAAGAGGCGGATGGGGCAGAAGCAAACGAGGTGGATGACAAGTTGAGGGTAGGGACAGGGGACCCTGTGAAGGTGCAGCTGGGTTCAGCTTGTCACTTGTGAGGACAACGTCAGGGTTGTAGGGAAACAACCCTGACTTTGTGAATCCACTCAGGGCTGTTGTAGCCGAGCTACTGTTGTCCAGGCTTTCAATTCAGGACGCCGGCAAACGTTCTCAGTGTGACGGATTTCGTGGTGTCCCTCACAAACTTCCTTACCCCCTCTTGCCACGCTGGCTTAATAATGGCCCCGAAAAACGCCTAGTCCACAGGCTGTGTTAGGTGGCTGGTGTGGGCCTTGATGCAATATAATATTGCCCCGTTCTCACTGCAGAGGTCTGTGACGCGAAACCCCGCCTTACCAGACGCCATGACGGCACTACTCGCCAACCCCCATCCATCCCCTCAGAGAGGCTGAGCGGCTCTGTGCTTTGCTTAGTACTGATGCTACACGCACAACACACTGCTCTGTGTGTAGTGCAAGTATACACATCTTCATAAAATGCATTGACAGCCTTACAACTACAGGGCGACGCACTGTTAGAATATGTAATCAGCAAGCCTGGAAATAATATGCCTCTGTGTACGAGCAATAAGCAACCACAGCGACCTGCAAATAATCTCGTGCTGCAGGAAAGGGTGCTGCCAGATGTTGATAAACGCGGGAACGCTCTAGCATGTTTAAATTTGTTCATACCACAGGGTTGTCACGCAGACCCCCCTATCGCACAACCCCGCCGCTACTCTGGTTAGTTTTTTTTAAGAAAGAAAAAAAGAATAGAAACCTGGGTGCGCTCAGCTGATTGACGAAGTACAAAAATGTGCAACCATTGTACATCGCGTCACGGATCATCCACTCTCATGAACACCTCTGTTGTAAATGTCGATGAACGGTTACAATGTTTGCCCCCAACAGGATCGCACAAAGGTGTGAACCGTCGACGCTTTGCTTTCCCCGATCACCTGAGCCATCCGCTTGATCTTAAATCACATACTAGGTGGGGAGGGCCTACAAGCAAGCATCAGACAGCATTCCGTCAAACTGTGAACTCGTGGATGCTTATGTTTCCCCAACCTTCGCTCTCGTCTTTCAGTTTTGTGCTTGAACTTCCTAGACAGGCTGGCGCACATACTTCTGGACTGTCCGTTTGCCTTTGCATCATATGGTCAGCTGTTGGCGGTGATCTGCTTTCCTTTCATTAAAAAAAAATTAGTAGGTGTAGTCGCAACACAACAATTTATGATTTGTCATGACATGGGCGAGGAACTCTGTCAGAGATGGAAAGCAATACATTTTTGGTGGGGTGCATTGCCTGAAGCCAACTGCTTCCCACCAGACACAGTATTTTTTAAAAAGCCCCCCCCCCCCCTTTTCCCCAAAGAAAAAACAAAAAAGAAAAAACTGACTTCTGAAAAGAACTTTTAGTGCCCAGGAGACACATCAGTTCCTGGCCATTCGAGTAAGATCCCGATTCGCCTAAGATCTCACATTTTCCTTGCTCCCAAGCACCTGGATCTTATGCAGAGACTGCTGTATGTATATAAACAGACCAATGTCTCCCAACAAGCCAACAAGACTTTAAAAGAGCTGCCTTCAAGCAAGCCATTTTGAAACTCTGGGGCAAAGTATAAAAAAAGTAAAGTTTCATCCAATTTCAATATTTGTTGTTGAGACAATATTTCCTATCTTAATCAACTCTATACCCTTTGTGTTTGTGCACAATAGACCTAATGTTGTAAGAGCAAGAGAGAGAGAAAAATAGAAAGAGAGAGAAGAAAGATGGTGAGGGAGAGAGACAGAGAGAGAGAGCCTGAGAGAAATGGGGGGGGACAAACAAGGAGAGTGAGAGAAGAGGGGGGGGGGGGGGAGGACAGAAAGAGTGACATGGAAGAATAGATGGCTAGTGAGATAAATGGAATGGATGGATAGAGAGAAACAGTGTGCAAGAGTGTGACTGAGAAGCAAACAGACAGACAGACAAATGGATGCACGAACGGATGGACAGACGGACAGACAGACAGACAGACAGAACAGGACAGAACGGGTCAAATGAGGAAAATGGGGATTTCTGAGAGAAAGAGAGGCATGGAGATCAAGCTGAGAGTGATCATGAATATGTGTTTGCATGACAGTGTGTGAATGGATGAAAAGATATGTGTAGGTTTGTGCTCATGCAATACTTTGTATTTATATATATATATATATATATATATATATAGCAGAAGCTGGAGCAAGCATACAGTCAGTTTCATCAAAAGAATGTGCCTTGGAAATTTTTTTAAAATGGAAGAAGGGCTTATTTGACAGCTGCTCTCTTAGTGTGGTCGAATTCCCTCCCTCTGCATTAAGAGAGGCACTTATTTTGACAGCATCAAAACTAGGCTAAACACACGTTTCAATTTAATTTCTATATTTACCAGCTGTTTTATTTTTTTCTTTCAACCATAAGACAGTGTGATCATCAGCCACCATGATTGTATTTTTGTGTATGTGTTCTTTTGTCATATATTACGGGTGCATATATGTGTCACGACGTTGTGGAATCAGGCGCTCGTCAATTTTGGGGCATATGGAGTTATTTGCATCATCTTAAAGCCTGTCCATTTGCCTTGCTGTTGACGAAAAAAATATCCATTTATCTTGGATACAAATCAAGACATTGGTGATTAAAGGAGGTGGGGGTTGTCTGGTTTCAGAGGTAAAATTAGCGAGAAAATGGCCACCAAACTTGAGTTATAACCTTAGCTTGAGACTCGAATCCGTGGAAACTGAAAATTTACATCTTTTATGCCTTGATCAAGTTTTTCAGTAAAATACACACAGCAGAAATGTGTTCTTTAATGGGCATGAAAGGTGTTGAGCCAAAAAACAAAAATTCGATGAAAATTACCAAATCTGCGGAAAAATGCCTGTTTCTTGTCTTTAATTATTTTGACGAGCGCCTGATTTCACCACGCTGCCTCACATATGTATTTGAAAGGATAGTTGTACATTGATTGGGCCAGTGTGCATGAAACATGTCAAATTTTAACATTTTATTTCATTTATTGTGAAGCATCTAAAACCACCAGGGAGTGGGCACTATAGAAAGCATCCTATTATTATTATTATTATTATTATTATTATTATTATTATTATTATTATTATTATTATTATTATTATTATTATCATCATATGATATCTTAGTCATCCATACCTTATCAGATAGATGTGATAGCATGAATGTGATTGTCCCACATTATCAGAAGCATTTGTTTCACGACATGGTGGAATTTGGAATTTGTCAATTTTGGGCATATGGTGTTATTGGTGTCATCTTAAGGGTTTTTCGTTTCCCTTACTTTCAACGAAATAGATATCAATTTGCAATCAAAGGAGGTGGGTTGCCTGGTTTCAGAAGTAAAATTAACGAAAAACTGGTGGCCAAAGTTTGGTGACTTCCAAAGCGTTAGAGTCCTTGGAAACTGTAAATCTACATTTTCGTGCCTTTAATCAAGGTTTTCCATAAAATCCACACATAAAAGTATTTTTGAATGGACATACAAGATGTTGAGCCAAAAAACAAAAATTCAAAAAGAATTTTCAAACTGGCCGAAAAATGACGTTTTCTCGGATTTCATTATTTTGACGAGTGCCAGATTTCAACTCCATGCCTCACATTTTGTGTTAATCTAAATTTACAGTTATTATTTTAGTTATTATTATATTATATATTTATTTCCTATTAGTTATTGAGGGACGTGTACTTGTCTTTGCTCTAGGCTCCATATATGGTATCTTACTTTGATGTTGTTTATGTTCTGTCCAATGTCTTTAAAAAAAATGTTGGTGTTTTACACTTCCTCATCAACACATTTTAGATCATTTAGGAGGCAGGCTTTGACTCTGTTTGTCAGGACTCACCCAAACTAAGAGGGATTCAATGTCCCAGTAGAAAAACTGAGATACTTGATAAAAATTCCCTTCACGCGGGAGTCGAACCAGAAGCTGATCAGAATGTCTTATTCCATTGCCACCTGATCATTATCATATGCTGTTAACTCGAGTTAACTGAACATGTGATTGCCTTCTCTTTGCTTTTGATGTTTTAATGCAATAAGTTAAGCCTCACTACCCTCATTTCCTTTGGCCATGCAAAATTATCAGAAAGTGTCACATAATTCCAAACATTTCTTCAGGTTATCGAGAAGCTCCGAAGTCAACTTCAGGGCGGATCCTGATGTGCATGTGGTTCTTCTTCACGGTGTTTGTCCTGCTCTCTTACACCGCCTGCCTTTGCTCCATTTTGACCATCAGAAGTCACAACTCAGTGCAGCCAGTTGAAGACAAGCGATATGTTCCATTTAAGGATGCGGCAGACATTTTGGACAAGAAGAATGTGAAAGTTGGAGCTGTATGTATTTCCATAATTACTTACTATTTATATATTTTTGACAATTTAAAGGGAGATATATTCTTCAAATAAGGAGCTGCATGATGATATGCTTGCATTAATGTCTTGGAAGACAGTTTTTAAAATGAGTTTCACTGCATTATCAGAGTTTTGATAATCATAATCCCTAACTAAAACTCACTGAGTACTTTGATTTTGATGAGCTTGTAAATTTGTAAACTTTGAAAATGAATTTTATTGGCTGAGCATATAATGGGATTCTTTTGACAGAAATGGCTCATTTTTGTTAATAAGCTTGAGAATTCTTAGAATAAATACCTGTCTCGGCAGAGAATAGTAAAGTTGCGTAGTCTAAACAGCCGTATGCACTGCTCACCGTCGAACGCTCCGTATCCCGGACTCTAGCATGGAGATCATCAGGAGAGAATGCGTCGCTGTTTCGGGCTCTTCCTCTCTACAGCTTTTCTGACGCACCAAGCCCCCTCACCGATGTGAGGTCTCCATGTTAGTTCAACTGTTTTCCTCTGCTGCCAACTTTAGGATTCATTCCAGCTTGAGTCCTCTCGCTTCAACCAGATCCAATGACTGGCTTTCTCTGCTGTCTCCTGAAGGGAGTTTGTGAGTTCGTTGCTTTTCTTTGCAGTAAGTCCTGCCACTCTCATCCACTTACGGGCGCTTGTTGCTACAAAACCTCTGCATCCTACCTCTACCGGAAAATGGGTTGCCTTCCATCCTGCCTCCTCACATTGTTCGACGAGTGCCTCGTAACGGTTTTCTTTCCGCTCATGAGCGGCATAGATATTGTCCTCGTGGGGCACCGTGAGCTCTACCAAGTGTACCTCTTTGTCTTTTTCCTCCCATAACACAATGTCTGGCTTTTTCGTAGTTGGAATGGGGAAGAATCTCTCAAAGCCTTTTAAGTCAGCAGCTACTTCCCATGTGCCTCCGCTCTGGTCTTTCATGGCTTCGTTCGCTTTCTTTCTTTTGGCAACCTTGCTTCCTTGCGGAACGAACGCAATCTTGGTGGGTCCATGCTTCTGTATCTTGGGGGCATATTTTCCTTCTTCCACCTGTTGTGTCGCCATTTTCGTGAGCACTTTCAACACCTCGTTGTGTCTCCAGGTGTATCTGTTAAGAGCTAGGTTGCAGTTTGACAAAATATGCTTCATGGTTCCTAGCTTACCGCATCTACACTTGTTGTCCTCCTGTACCTTCCATCTGACAAGGTTCACCGGTGAAGGCAGAACATCATACGTAGACCGGAGAAGAAAGCTCAGCCTTGATGTATTCCACTTCCAGATGTCACTCCACCCGACTTTTCTTTCCACTACATGCTCTTCCCATCTGGTCATTTGTCCTTGCTGGCTACACTGGATGAGATGAATTTCTCGCCTCTCTGCCTCCATCTTTTGCATATGTCTTAATATTATCTTTCAACATTATTGAGTAGGCAAATCTAGGCCCAGGGTTGGAGGTCTCAGAGGATTGTTGTGCATCTCGGGCACACCAGGGTCACAGGGTCAACTAAGCAAAACACTAATTAGGTCCGTATAAGAACTATCTCTGACTCACTTGCTGAAAGATTTTTAAGGAGGTTATGACCGCTGAAACTTGATGTCTTTAAGTTAGCAAAATTACTTTGTCTAAAAAGAAATCTCATGCTCTCCTGAAAATGGGTACACCAACTGATGAAGCTCACTGATTGCCCCTAGTTTTGGACCAACAAATACTATTATAGGTTTAATTTGCAGAGGGGAGAGTGGGACAGGGGGTCACAGAGGAAATGGCATCTGTGTGATGCTGAGAGAATGGAAGAGTAAATTTGCAATACAAAAAAGGAAATATCTTTAGGTGAAAATCTCCCATTCCTTCCCCTACAAAAGAATTTCTTTTTCAGAAAAGGAAAAACATTTAGGAGGAGTGCTAAGTATTGGATCATCAGCTGGTAATTTATGAATATATGGTGCCACAATCTAGAAGAGCCAAAAAGTTTTCAACTGCCTGACCTTATTTATCATAAATAAAGAATAAATAGGGGATCCTTTTTCGCTTTGTATTTTTACAATGACTTTTCTTTTCTTTATTACAATATGTTCTGTACTATTTTTTGTTCTTTTGTGAGTCTGCTTATTTGGTAATTGCTGTTGTTGGGGAAAGCATTATGTTGTTATTCAATTTTAAAGGCTCAGCTTATAAAAATAAAGACTCCAATGCATGAAAGATATTGATAACAATATTTTTGTTTAAATATTGCAGATGAAATACAGCTATGTTTACAAGACTCTGCAGGATTCAAAGTCATCAGGAGATCTTTCCAAATTGTTCAATTACATTGAAAACTCTCAGGACTGGATACAAAATGAAAACGAAGGTAATAATTTAAGCAATTGAAAATGAATTAGCATATGAGAGTTAGAGTGTATTTTTTCAATTTGAACCAGAAAACCTTTCTTATGATATCGATCACACATTCAACACCACAACAAGTATAATAAATATATATATATGAGTGTCATCATCTTTAAGGTATGTTAATGATATCATGAATTAGGACGGGGTATCTGACATGGGTAAACAGGTTATGTAAAGAAGGAATAACCAGACATTGTTAATGCAAAAAAAAAAAAAAAAAAAAGAAGGAAAAAAAAAAAAATGGAAACAAAGGCATACATCTTTAAAACAGGAATGAAAGTAAAACAAAACAAATGAAAATCAAATATAACAAATTGAAAAAAAAAAGTCAAAAGATTGAACAGTGTCAAAGCAGTCTAGATAGATATTCATATGTTCTTTAGTTCTTTTTCTAAGGGGGTGGAGCAGAAAGTAAAGGAAGTTGTCTTCAAATGGTTAAGATTATTTATTGACGGAATAACTTGTCTACTATTAAACCAACCGTTGGAGTTTCAACTGACATCACTCTTCATTTTTTTATGATGTCACAAAAGGGTTTTTTCCTGTTCTGAAAAAACAAGATGGAGTTCACCAAAGAAAATATATGGTGAGCAAAGAATGGTCCACCTTGATGACCAATCACAGTAGCATGAGACATGCCATTTTGACTTATTATCCTATCGTGAGTCTCAAGATCTACGGTTATTCAGTTGCCCCTCCCCTTAACCAGTCCCAAATTTATAGTTTTCCATCTGTGAGTTCCCCTGCCTTTGTCGTTACACACCATTATGTTGTGATCACACCAATTAAAATTCAGTCTGTCTTGCAAATTTGATGTGATCCCGCCTTAAGAGAACTTGTAGACCCTATTCACCCAGCGCGTGACGTAAGTTTAAGTGGATAGCTCAGATGTTAGAGCGATGTTTAGGGAAAACAAATGCCTAAGTCAGTTCACACCTCAATGTGATTCCCGTCTGGGGCTAATATTTTACGGTTTCGTCGAGTTTTATAACGCACATGTGATCGCATTCACGAGGGTGGCTGATCTTTGATGCGATGGGCAGTTCAATGATCTCAACTTTTCACTCTTGGTTGATCAGTTGTGCCTGCCCGTGTTTTTTATTCCGTAAATTATTATCTAAAATGCAGGATCTTAGCCGAATGTAGATCATCAGAGTGAATCAGAGTGGGATCTTAGGGGTGACTTTTGTTTAGTAAGAATTTTGTTTTCTTAAAATAGCAGGATCTTAAGCGAACCAGGGTCATAAGCGGTGGGATCTTAGGCATAAACTACTGTATATTTTTCAGACAGTCTACTATGTCATGCCACATCTGTGTGTTCTGGTAAAAAGTACACCGCATGATCCATGTGCTTACTATAGGCACACCAGCAGTGTTTGCTTTAAATTTGTTTTCCCAACTCCATGACACTGGAGTTCAACTGCATTTGAAAATAAGGTGGCTGGATACTAAAACACATCCTTTAGTGTGTCAGACAACATACATGACACCCTGCAACTCAAATTGGGAATTTAAGACGTTCACGAAAAATGAAATGGACAAAATGAACAAAAAAATTAAATGCAAGCAAAAAAAGCATGAGCACAGTAAAATTCACCCTTTTCTACACCAAATGCCTGTTTTAGATACGACTAGCCCATTTTGGTCTCAATTTTTTGTTAGTCTATACAGTGGCGTCCAAAAGAAACTTGAAAATGTATTCACCCAATCATCGTGTTAATGCCTTACATAACCCACTCATACTTACTTGAATTTTGATAGAGCAAATAAGAAATTCTTTTTGTATTACTTTCATTTTTATAGCCTCATAGGAAAAAATAGATCCTGAAATTAGAGTGCTACTTTCTAGCTTCATGTTGATTCTAATGGTTTGGAGCATGATTAAGAAAAGTGATGGGGAGAGGGTGGGGGGGGCATTTACAGATATAAAGATGATCTTCTTCCTTCGCTGCTTCCTTGGGTGCAAATTGGTAATCAGATGCTGTGGTCTCAATGAGTTTTTCTGAATAAACCAAAACTGCTTTAGGCTGACTTCCTGAACACGAAACCATGAAGATATATTTATACCTCTCAATAATAGTGGTTCGTTGGCTGTTGTCCTGCTGTGGTTTGTTCCATCTTTCCTATCAAATGTCTATCATCTTTATCTCTCCTTTAAATGCAAGAAATTGCAAGACATTTTTTTGGTCGTTGGTCCCAACAGAGTTTTGAATTTTATGAAGGCCATTGGCCTTTATGGCAAATTATAAAGTGAAATTGAAGTATTAAAATTTTTTATGTTATCTAGGAAAATTGTTTTAGACTGAAAATATATATACATTTACACTGACTGTTAAACATTTTAACATTTTAAGACCTAACTAATGACCCGAGCCAGCCGTACAGTAAACTGTTGTGAACAAAACTAACTTGTGTTTCGCGCACTCATATGACCTTATGCAGTTGCGAGCGCTGTAAAACCCCATACTAAAACTAAACTAAAATATCTCTCCTTTTTTACACTTGTCACTCTCTTGTAGCACCTTTAATCTTTAGCACTTATATGACCTTATTGTGTTGCAGGTGCCGTAAAAGTCTTTCTAAAACTAAAACATCTCTATAATGCTGTCTACACCGTTTTATGAACAGGCATCCAAAGGGTGAAAGATTCTGGTGGCAAGTATGCCTTGCTCATAGGGAGTGTGAAAGCTGACTACATAGAAAGCAGACACTGTGATCTTGTGACGTATGGAGGACTGACGGATAAATACTTCAGGTGAGCAAAAAATTGTGTTAGTTTTAATTTAGTTTTCATTGGTTGCAGTTATGTTGTCTGTTCCCTAGAGAGCAAGATGGGTTAATGTGGCTGGTCATAATGTAATGATACTAAAGGTACATTTTGTGAAAACCATTAATATCACCACTTTTAACTCTTTCTGGACGTAATTGTTTTGAAGTCTAGAGGTAATTAACTTGTGACTCAATTCGGTTACACAGGAGATGTACAAAATAACTTCTTATAAGCATAACCATCACTCAAAACATAACATATGAAATATCAAATTGAAGGAAATTGAATAAGGAATGCATTCCAACATGAAACAAGGATTAATTTTGAACATAAGTATGCATTACAAGGGTTAGAAATGACGATGGCGGTGAGAAAAATAAATTTTGATGGAAAAAATTACGCACACTAAACACGTGAAAGCAAATCAGTATAACTATCTTATCACATACAGGCCAAGAGCAGATTCCATAAATTTCTGAATGTGCAGCTTTTTATTTGAATGCAATATTCCAATTTTTGTTTGAGTTACGATATTTATACTGAGTCCGGTTAGATCGTTTTGTTGATGCAAGACCACAAGAACTAATTTACTCGTTTTTCGCCAGACTGACGCTTTGACAAAGTGAAACTAGATGTTTTCGTTTCCTAAATCCTTTCCAAGTTTTCAACAACAAAAAAAAGTACTTATAAATAATGGATCATGTTAATGTTAAAATGAAACAAAACTGAGGTTCCCAATCATAGCTGATATATCGGCGATACGTCCGCAAGGGGTGTGGACTTATGCCGATTTATCAGCGATACATCTTGAAAGAGTTAAGAACAATCTCAGCCATTACAAGTGAAAATAGATTCTAGACAAACGAATGATACTTCATGAAATTGTAGCTTATTTGCTATACGCACCCTCAAATCTATTTTTTTTTGGAGAAGATGTCTTTTAACACTTTGCCCCAACGGAACGCTGATCAGCGACGGTAAGAAGCTGTTCCTTTTCCCCATGGGACGCTAATCGGCGACGGTAAGAAGCTGTTCCTTTTCCCCATGGGACGCTGATCGGTGACGGTAAGAAGCTGTTCCTTTTCCCCATGGGACGCTGATCGGTGACGGTAAGAAGCTGTTCCTTTTCCCCATGGGACGCTGATCGGTGACGGTAAGAAGCTGTTCCTTTTCCTCATGGGACGCTGATCGGTGACGGTAAGAAGCTGTTCCTTTTCCCCATGGGACGCTGATGGTGTGATATAGCATGTAGGCCTACCGCATCTGTATCATGATCCGTTGGGATAAGTGTTGCGTGCTGCATAGGTGGAAAGTGTTAGAGTTAACTCTTTATCTCCGAGGTGGATAAACCCACTATGCGCGCTCATATGACCTTAGCAGTTGCGAGCGCCGTAAAACCTTATACTACTAACTAACTAACTAAACCCACTATGCTAGGGCCCTTTTTTTGGTATTAAATCTAAAAATGACAAAGATGTCACTAAACTGGTTATTAAATCTAAAGAACTGTTAACCAATTTTTATAGTTCTTCATCTTATGAATAAAATCCCGATAAAAGAGACCTGTTTTTGGCAACTGCCGAAAAGTTATTTGAAGTAGAAGTCGTTGTAAAGGAATGTGCCCGAGCCGCTGCTAACAAGCACAGCGGTTCCGACCGTGAGCTGCTGGGAATGGCTTGCCTGTGATAAAGAGTTATTGGACATTGTATGCATTGACATGTCTGCAAAGCAACAGGGTTATTTCTATTTAATTAGGCTAGAACGTTTAAATGTGGCTCACTTTATCATCATGCTCTGACTTAATACTGTAGGCCTACTAATCTTAATGAACAAAACTTGTGAGGTGGATTCTTTGAGATGTTTTCAGGAAAATGCAACAAATATTTGTATCATGTGGCAGTGGACTCAGGTGCTCATCAATTTTTAAGCACATATAGTTTTCTTGGTATGATTTTAAAGTTTGTTCGTCTGTCTTGCTTATGTTGAAAAACATAACCATCTATCTTGAATAGAAGTCGACATATTTGCAATTGAAGGAGGTGGGAGTCACCTGGTGTCAGTGGTAAAATAATGAGAAAATGGCCACCAAAGTTTGGTGGCCCCCAAAGCTTGAGTGTCCTTGAAGGCTGTACATGTACAATTTTGTTCCTTTGATCAAGGTCTTTCAGTCTTTTATTATATAAAAAATATTTGAGCTCCATATTCAGCCAATGAGACAGGTTTTTAGAAAAATTGGAAAAATTGACTTATTGAGTTTTGAAATCTACCCTTCAATCCATTAGGGAAACACCTTTGATCTTTGTCACCAAGGCTAATTTTGTGATCTTTTATTCACAGGATCTGGTATTTTCCTCTTATTCAAGTGCGTTGTTAATATAGTCACTTATCATATCTAACATTAATATGTCAATGCATTTTCTTCTACTCTTCTTTTTTTCAGATACACATTTGCGATATCTTCACGTTCTTTATTAACTACAAAGATCAACTGGGCTCTCCTTCGGCTGAAAGAAGACGGACAACTTCACATGATGCAAATGGAATACTTCATAAAAGGTCAAAAGTGTCCCGCCAACGACAAGAGCAAGCTGGTTCCTGTGTCAGAGAAATCAGCTGTTCCTTTTGCTTCAACATACTCTCGCCTGGATATGAGAGATATGGCTATTGCATTCTTATTTCTGTTTCTTGGAGTATTAGCAGCAGGTGCTGCTCTAGGAGCTGAGATCTTCTACAGGCGTTGGCTGCTTTCCAAGGTACTGTAATGAGCAAACTACAAGTCCAATTTCTGATATTATAAGCAAAGGAATAGACCTTTTAAATGCTTTCCAAGAGTAAAGGAATATTGGCCTTTTCAGATACAGTAAATGAAAGTGAAGATTTGGAGCTTGCACTTATTGCACTGTTCCTCATCATCGGCAAACTGTTCATATGTACTAAGCCCTGAAAGCGAAATTTTTGTTGAGAGAAAAAGCGCTGTTTCATTCTTTTGACAATTTGAATTTTGACAAAATATTTCTTGTGCACATGCAATTAATACTACAGATTAAGAAATGATGATAAAATGTTCTCAAACTTTTGGGCTAAGTAGGCCTACATCTGAACAGCTCTCCAACAATATTATAGTTACAATGTGTGCAGGTAGCAGTTAGCATTGTGAGTTGCTATAAGATCAGGATCCATCTGATTAGTGCATTTTTAAGCATGTTAGACTCAAATATGTTTACTCGAAATATCATGACCTTGTTATAGCCCTTTGTCTCTTAGACGGAATTTAATTTTGGTTATGTCAAGGAAGAATTAATGTCTTTCCATGATAGGTATTCATGGTTTTTTTGGTAGTCCTTTTTCATAACATTTTTTTGTGTCATGACGCATTGGAATCAGATGCTCATCAATTTTTGGGCATTTGGAGTTTTTGGTATCTTCTGAAAACTGATTTATTTTTCTTGCTTCCAATGAAATATATATCCGTCTATCTTGAACAGAAATCAGATATTTGCAATTGAAAGAAGAGAGGTCGTCTAGTTTCAGTGGTGAAATTTGTGAGAAAGTGGCTACCATTATTTTTTAACTCCAATAGCAAAAGAGTACTAGAAAACAGAAAAAATGACATTGGCCTATTTTGTACCTTTAATCAATGTTTTTCAGAAAAATACACATGGAGATGTGCTTTTATAAGGACGTAAAAGAGGTTGAGCCAAAAATAAAAATTAGATAAAAATGTCCAAACTCGTGGAAAAATGCCTGTTTCTCCGATTCCTGTATTTTGATGAGCCCCTGATTTCACCACGCCACCTCTCATAATTTTGTTATTTCACAGAGAGATCCAGACAAGAAAGTGAGAGAGCCTCTGAACACAGAAAGTGGAATCTCCAGGGCCCCCAAAGCCACTCCCCCTCCGCCGCCAATCTACAAAGTGAACAAACTCCAGGAAAACGATAAGAACAAAAAAGAGGAAAATGTTGCGAAAGTTGCTCAAAGCTCTGATGTTGAGAAAGGGAATGATATTGAATTAGAAGTTGTGGAAGACAAGCCTTATGCAGCAAAGGTGGAGCTGGAGAGTACTGATGAAATTAATGATGCTGGCACGAAGCCTGAGCTGCCATCAGTTGACACAACCGCTGGTGTTAAAGAGAATGTGTGATTCAAAAAGAAATTGGGGATGGGGGTAGGGCGAGGGGGGAAGCAGAAGGGGGAGGGGTGTATCCCCTTTGACAACTGGGGGGGGGGGGGGGAGGGGAGGGAGAGATGCCCTTAACACTTGTGCATTTGTTTTCATAAGAGTTAGACTGATCTGAAAAGGGAACCTACAGCTAGAGCATATGTGCTATTGATAACTATATCTTGTAAGAGAATCAAGCATGAAAAACCCATCACTAAGAATTAAAATCTTCACTTTAAAAATAAATTATGTTTGAATGATAGTATTGGTTTGAAGGTTAAATCATTCACTCATTGTTGTCAATAACGGTTGAAATGTGTTATTCAGATTATTGAAAGGATTACAGATTGCAACATTAAATTCAAGCCTTTCCGAAGACAGTTTTAAATAATGTTCAGGACATGTGAAAGTAACATCATGTATACTCTTCCCTGTAAAAGCTGTATTTTTATTACCCTTTTTTTTGGTAAGTGCATTATACATTGCTGTAAAGGGTTACCCTTTTTGTGCAGCTGCAAGGAGTGAACAAGTACATGTACTTTGACGAGTGTGTTTCTCATTCAGTTGAATTGTCCATGACCTTTGTGTTTGAGATACTGTTTTTCTATGTGAGTGTCACTGCTAGTCATTGCTGTCCTTTGATATTTCTATTCTTTGTATAATATCATGTCTATGTGAGGGTGCCTTTTTTAAAATTGGAACTAGTATAACTATCAGTGATCTCTCTACTCGAGTATCATTTTCACGTACATTAATTCCTTTTCTCCAGCAAATCACTCAATGGCTCACGGTTGAAACTGTTGTACAGGTGAGCTGCTAGGAGTGGCTGAGGCACATTCCTCTACGATGACTTTGACATCAAATTACTTCTGGGCAATTTCTGAAAACAGGTTTCTTTTACCAGGAGTTCATTCATTAGATGAAGAGCTGTCAAAATACGTTCTCTTGTTTTCATTTAATGATCAATTTAGTTACATAAATGTCACTTTAACATTTTGTACATTAACTCCTTTTCTCCAGCAAATCACTCAATGGCTCACTGTTGAAACTGTTGTACAGGTGAACTGCTAGGAGCGGCTGAGGCACATTCCTCTACGATGACTTTGACGTCAAATTACTTCTTGGCAATTTCTGAAAACAGGCCTCTGGAAGTGTGGGTTAATTTACCCCCCTCGGAGATAAAAGAGTTTCATAAACCATTTTCTAATTCTATTCCCTGTCGACGTGTCAAATGAAAACACTACTATTCTAAAAAAGTAAATACATGTTAATCTAAAAACATAGAGGTAACAGCTGTAATCTCCATGACTGTTGCGAAGTCTTTATGTTTGCAAATTGCAAACTGATGAGAGGTAAAGTCAAGATGCTCTTGCTCAGAAGTTTTGTAATAAAAAAATTATAATTGCTGGTCTTGGCTAAAAAAAAAAAAAGGTCTATAAGCAGAGTGTCTGGTGTAGGTTTACCTTACTCGTTTATCTTATGGTGCTGTATTTTTTCTTAGACAGTTATTTTCTTGCCATAAGTATTTTTAAAAAAACCCCGATCTTTTTGTAATTTTTATGTAATGAAGCAAATGTCAACTCACGTTCTGTGTCAAGTTCTTGCAAGTACAAACTATTTTTACAATGTATTTCAAAATTGTTTTGCTATAATGTCTTGGCAATATATTTCTCTGGATAGTTTATGTATACTCAGAATGGAATAAGTAAACTTTTACTGGTCATAAGATTGTGAATAATTCCTCTTGAATCCTATATTTACAGTGTACTGAAGCTTCTACAGCCATATTTCCTTGTATGAGGATGTATGTTGTACCAGTACTTTACCTTGGCTACATTTTCCTTTTTCATACAACTTAATTCATTTCACACATATGCTCTGTATCATATTCTTAAACTTGTAAAGGCAACCCAGGGAGGGAAAAAAAAATGCCAGAAAGAAAAACTATAAAAATACTCAAACATAATTACAGTAAACATATATATCGAGTGTACAAGTAATCAGTTTTCAAAGATTGTACAGCTTTGATAAAAAGAGATGTTTTTGCCAGTATGTGCCCTCTGAACTTAACAGTGTGTTCTTGTATTATATTACTTTCTTTTATATATACTTTTACTTGTAAATATGTCTGCTTTACGTCTTAAAGTAAAAAAAAAAAACTGCAAAGAAAAAAAAAGTTTATGCATGACCTTTCTAAGTTCGTGGATGGAGACAGCTTTAATTTGTACCATAGAGCTGTAACTTTTTAAATGTGATTCCTTTTCGTAACTATAGATTGCTTTATACACATTTTTGTTTTTCAACTTCACTAGGGCATTTCGGGGTAAAACCTTATGGGGTAACATTTTTTAATTTCTTCTCTGCCATATGCAGAATCTTAATTTTTTCTACAATCTGTTTTGTTCACTCTATGCAGAAAACTAGAATTTTGGGGTCCATTTTCCTTATTATGAATTCCTCAAATTTCATAAAGACTTTCTTGTGAAGGTCTCCAGAGTAAACCACCATGAATCTCACTCTCTGTAGCCTTGCAGAATGTTATTTTAATAATGTGTGAAAATGTCATTAGCTGAATAAATTTCAGTGGGGTAATTGAACCATGTTCATGCCACAGTACACAACTGATAGGTAGTTAGGCGGATGTTTCAAAAGCATTTTATGTGCCTATTCTGTGAATTACACATTCACAAAAAGGCAGCACATTATTATCTGTTTTGAAGATGTGTACCCATTTAAGAATAACATTGAAATTTTTATCAGCATTTATTGCTCTTTTTCCCTTTACAATTCATAACCTTTTATAATAGTGCTTTATCTAAACGTGGCTGCAGCCAATCTGGATGATAAAGACTATGTTGTACATAAACACTGTACATTTCAAGTTCACTACCTGAAATTGCTGCTCAAACCAGCTGTATTTATGCATGTGAGTGACCCATTTTGTGTTCATTTTCTTCTTCATAATTTCTTTGACAAGAGTGCAGAACAGTCCTTAACACTCTGGGATAGGGATATATGTATAAATATAAATATTTTTACACATTTTCTTCTTTATTCTTCACTGTTATGTCTGTAAAGCTAAGAGCACAATCAGCATAACATGTTAGTTTATCTGGTCTTTCTCTACTTTTGCTATTTTATGTCGTGTTGAGATTCATTCCAATTCTGTCCTAATTAATGCGGAAGACGTATTCCAATTCTGTCCTAATTAATGCGGAAGACGTATTCCAATTCTGTCCTAATTAATGCGGAAGACGTATTACAATTCTGTCCTAACTGATGCATAAGATGTTTTTGGTTTTTTTCTTTCTGAAACAGGCCACTTAGGGTAAAACAATGTCAGTATAGAAAAGTGACAAAAGGCATAATTCATTTCTCAAGAGACATTCATTTGCAAAGATAATATTTATCGTCAAGCTGCTACCTTTTGGCCTTAGTTATTTTTTACACTTCGGAGATAATTGGAAAAAACTGTCTAGGTAAGTGAAAAATGCATTTTGATAGCCCAAAATTTCCAGAGCTAATTGATTTGCCGTCCCTCATTAGTGTTAATAGTTATTTACCAATGAAAACCAAAATTATGGGATGTGACTGACATAGGCCATTTCATGACTGTGGTCCCTCTGACTTAGGGCCATTTTACAAAATAACTTGAGCCATTTCGTGAGGCCATTTCATGACTGTGGTCTCTCTGACTTAGGGCCATTTTACAAAATAACTTGAGCCATTTCGTGACTGTTGTCTCTGATTCAGGCCATTTTGCAAAATGACTTGAATCATAAGTTGTTGTTTTTTCGTTTTTCCTTTCAGAATTACTTAGGTCATTTTGAAAATAATTTGACTGAAATGGACAGTTAGATCCAGGACTGAGGGTAAGAAACTTGCCCAGGTTTTGGTCCAAGTCTGAAGTAGGTTGAAATGAATGAGAGACAAATTAGCTTATATCAGGCTTCGGCCAAATTACCCAGGAAAATCAATGTCACTTTTGACCTTGGCCAAATGTTTCTTTCTAAAAATATTGTTTTAAATGGTTTGGAGTATACTTTTAATTTTACGTCTTTTTGTTAACCAGATGTCAAGGCGTCCTGTGCTTTGTCAGTTGTATTTTGGCCTAAGTCTGACCTAGGCCAATAGGTAGCAGCTTGACGTTTTTATATGTTACTTCTCAAGGCATAACCAACTATAGTGCAGATAAACAAATTTTTTTCTAATGACAGTGATTTCAAGTATGAAAAGAGCAACTGGTGTTGTCATGATTTTTCTCAAACTTTATTATCATTCTTGGCTCCCTGCTTTATTCCTATTGGAACATCCCACAATCATTGTCATCTCAACAGTAAAACCTGTCTTCAGGTCATCCGACTCCCTGAACCCACACAATCCATGGAGGTGTTTAGTCCTTACCACAATTGATCAATGAATATGTTTTATCGTTTCCACATCGTACAATTCAATAAAAACTTGTTCATTTAAATATGGATATAATGCAATGTTCACATTAACACTGCCTTATCTCAGTTGAGTTTGCAAGTTTTTTATCTAAAGAAAACAGCCCGTAGGCCTATTATAGCCAGGACAAATTTGTAATGAGAACAGATTTGTTTCATATTATGTCAGCTGTCAACTGTTTTTTTTTTTCTGCTAGCTGTTGTCAAAGTGTTGTTATTGTACGCACCTGTTTGTTTTCTTGTTGTTGTTGATGTCATTATAATATTATCCTGTCGCAAAATGAAACTAGTGGGCATTGATGTCACTCATTTATATTAAAAAATATTTTTAAAAACATTTATGAGTTGTTTGGTCATCAGATCTGAGTCGGAGCAATTATTCTGGCGAACAGTTCTTTTTATTTTTCAATTTGTGAACATTACTTAAATTCTTCTTTATCGCTGGGAAAAGTGTTTGGTTAGACTGATTTGAATAATGGATGTTTACAAAAACACTTTTAATTCATTTGAAAATTATTTTTAATATCATTTTATTTAAATAA